ACACACACACACACACACACACACACACACACACACCAGGGCTGCATATTAAGTGCATTTATGTTCAGAGACTCCCACCATAACTTAAATTTCACCAGGCTCCCCACTTAAGCCCCCCCGTGCACCTCTGATCCACTCAGCATGGTTTGTACTTTCAGACCTTTCACAGTTTCTCTATTTTAACCACGAACCTTTAACTAGTGCAGAGAGAAAACTCCATTTTCAAACGGACAACTTTCACACTAAGAATCATCAGTGTGGATGAGGTCTCTGAAGCAGCACATCAGCTCCAGTGGCCTCACTGTTTTGGACTACTGATCGGTGCTGGTGGTGGATTTGTCCACCAAGGTCAAACCACCTGTCTATGCAAAGCTCTCCTGTAATGCCGTGAGTCCGTGGCACAAACCACCTTCACTAAAACGTCATCATCCACCGCCCACCCTACTAGCCAGATTAGCCTCCCTGTAACCTTTTCCATGACATCAGTCCAACCGTTATCTGAAGGAGGGTTGTGGTAGGAGCCGGCTAAGCAGACATCCTCCTCACCAGAAACACTTTACAATTCTGTTTATAGGTCTGCTGTAACGGGTCCTCGTACCTGGGCGTGTCTGAAAAACCTCTGAAGGGAGGAGTCCAGGAGGCATTCTGACCAGACGCCTGAACCACCTCAGCTGCCTCAGCCTGAGATGAACGAGCAGCGGCTTTACTCTGAGCTTCTTATCTTAAGTGAAGCGCATGCATCTGGATTTAATCTAAGTTGTAACTGCAAAAGGTTTTGAGACCCTGTGCCATAACCTGACATGCACCTCCCTAGAAATGCATCAACGCAGCTCACAATGACAGGGACTGGCTGCTCAGCACTGCCATTTCCTCCTATCTGTGACTGCTTCTGCTGCCAACAGAATACATGAATCACACATAAGGCTAAGCCCAGCCAGCCTACCCACTACAAATGTAAGAGAGGCACGTGTATTCTTGATCTTCCTGTTTTGGTCATGGCCACAGGGTGAGGGTTGTAGCATCATGGACTGGTAAATCTAAAAGCCTCCAGCTCAGCTCTCCCCTCCCTTCCTCAAAATGAAATTTAAGTCATGGTTTTGACAAACTGGAGGAAAAGCAACAGGCAACCCAGAGTGGTCAGAACAGGAGAGACCAGATCACAATGAGAAACAAAAAACAGAGACAATCTGAAAGCTTTCTAGAGGTGCACAAAACAAGGATCCCGAAGGAGGAGCTCAGCTAAATTTCAAACCAGATAAGTTTTTAATGCTCATAAGTGACAAAGTCTAAAGAAAGAAAATAATGTGCAGCTTTGTTTCTTTTCTCCATTTGGAACAAAACACTTCTACCACCATCTCCAACAAGGCAGAATCTGCTGCTGCAGATAGTCTCAGATTTATTTGTATTATAAACGTTCTGATTGGCATCAGGGAATAAACGGTGCAAAGTCAGCTGTGCCCACATAGCAAGATTTCTATCAGGA